AATGAGAGGCTGGGCTGAGACACGCCGGGGATCCCAGAGTCACCCCTGGGACACCTGTGCTTTGGCACTGTGGTTTCTCGGGGCAGTTGGTTTTAGACAGGCTATTCTAGGGACTTCCCGGGTGGTCCAGTGGTGCAGAATCCGCCTTGCAGTGCTGGGCATGTGGGTTCGATCCCTGGTCGGGGAGCTCAGATCCCCCCGTCCACGTGCCACGGAGCAACTAAAGCCCGCGTGCCCCAGTTAGAGATCCCAGATGATGCAGCAAAGATCCCATGCGCCACAGCTAGGACCCAACACAGCCAAATGAGTAAATAAACAGAATGATTTTTTTTTTTGTCTCTTTAAAATTAATTCATTTATTTTAATTGGAAGATAGTCACTTTACAATATTGGGGTGGTTTTTGCCACACACCGACATGAATCAGCCACAGGTGCACAAAGAAAGCTCACAGGCACCTTTCGCTGTCAGAGTATCTGTCCTTCGCGTGTTAACTGTTGGCACTGAAGCCACACAGAGACGATGGGCCACGTGGCTGTCCAGCGTTGGTCAGACCAGCTGCTGTAATGACACCTGTAACAAAATATCACGAATTGGGGGGCGAGGGGGTGGGGGAGCATTCAATACCAGAAATCTATCTTCTGGAAATGAGGCCAGCCTCACCCAGTTCTGGAGGCTGAGAGTCCAAGGTCAGGGTGTGGGCAGGACTGGTTTCTGTGGAGGTCTCCCCCTGGCCGGCAGACACCCCTGCTGGCTCTGTCCCCACGTGGCCTTAGCTCTGGGCACGCCAGGAAAGCTTCCTCTTCTTATATGAGGACCATGACCTCATCCAACCTTAATTCCATCCTCGAAGTTCTGTCTCCAAATACGGTCACACTGGGAGGTAGGGCTTCAACACATGGATTGGCGGGGAGGGGAGGGACGGATATAATTGAGTCCAGTAGCATCCAGGCAGACTTTAGATATCTCAAGGCCGTGGGCAGAGGCCCACCAGACTTGGCCCCAGAGGCCCTGACAGCTCTCGGGTCGTTTGAATTCGCTGAGCACTCGTCACCCCAGTCTCTCTGGCCCACCTGCACCCAGGAGTGGGAGGCCCACAGGTCCCCCCCCGGGTTTGTCAAGGCCTCTGTCCAGGGACCCCACCCCACCCTGCTGAGCACGTTGCCCAAGAGAAGCTCTTGCCTACACTCAGCTTAAAGTACCCAGTGGGCATTTCAGGCCCCCCGCTCCTGCCACCGACACCACCGTGTCACCCACAGCTCCCCCACAGTGAGGTCTCGTGTGCACGATCGTGGCGAGAATCGTGAGATGCTGGTCTCTTCAGTCATCCCAACACCCACGGCTGCTGCTTTGCCGGGTGAGCACGTTGGTCAGGCAGAGCAGCATCCAAACATGAGACTTTGAGTCCCAAAGCCGCCTTGCCTGCGGATATGTCACTGTGCCCATTTTACAGGTGAGGAAACAAAGGCCCTGAAGTTTCTGACCTTGCAAAGGTCTGAGCACCCAAACCCCGGCCTCTCCAACACCGAAAAACCGCAGCCTTTTATCTTGGAGTCGATTCTCTTTTGCCTCCCTCTGGCCACTGCAGGAAGCACACAGCATTCAGCTTTCCTCCCCGTGTGTTAGCATGGGCAGAAATCACAGGACATGACCTGGAAATAGTATTAAGTGCTGTACCAGGGCCTAGTTGTCCCATGGCATATGGGATCTTAGGTCCCCAACCAGAAATTGAACCTGTGTCCCCTGCATTGGAGGGCAGATTCTCAACCACTGGAATATCAGGGAAGTCCCTGAATCTTCCTCTTAAAGAAGGTTCCCCAAGGGACTTCCCTGGTGGCCCAGTGGTTAAGACTCCACACTTCCACACAGAGGGCGAGAGTTTGATCCCTGGTCAGGGAACTAATATCTCACATGCCTTGTGGCCCAAAAAAAGAAAGAAAGAAAGAAAAAGAAAATGCCTTGAACTGAATAAAAATGAAAATGTAACATACCAATGTAAAAAAAAGAAGACTCCCTAAATGGTATGCGCTTTTAGCCCCACAAAACCTGGACCCGCCTTTGTTATGTATTGGGAACAACACTGGTTTTTAAAAGCAAAGGACCGCTTAAACGCACTCATGATTCAGGTGCCTGTGAGTTCAGTGAATACAGGTGAGCCTGGGAGGCTGGGGTGGGGAGGGTGGGACTGACCACAGGAGAGCAGCCAGAAGCTGTGGGTCTGACCTCGTTCTTTGGCTGGGGTATTCGCATATGAAAAAGGAAATGGGCTGATTGCAGTTAGCACGGCAGCTCCTGCGTCCCGTCCTCTGGTTCACCCCTGAATGATTTGGCAACGAGTATTAAAATCAACCGGAGCAGAATAAAAGGCGTCTGATTTTAATGCCAACCAAAAAAATGAGAACTAGCAGATTGGAACTTGAAAATCTGGATGTATGCTCCCCCCTCCTGCACTGTCCCTTTTCATTTAATTCACGTTTTGCTCTTTGGCGATTTATGAAATGCATCAACATATGTTTAATACATTTTAAATAAGGTTTTTAAATAACATGAAAAACACGGCCGGTCCTGGGTTTTTTGTCTTTCACCTCCTCCACTATTTTCCAAGATGTTACCGGCGCTTTTGTGCCTGTCTTCTGGCCCGGGCGAGGGGTGGTGTGCAGCGGGCCTCCAAGCTCTGGGATGCGGGTGTGAGTTCTCAGCTGCAGCCACGTGTTCCTCCTGAAAATCTCCGAATGAAAGGGTCGGGGGTCGCTCTGGGGTCACTCGTATGGACCGGGAAGTGAAGCAAAACTAATCCAGATTTACTCCTGGAAGAATTTGTTTGCCTAAGTATTTAAAAACAGATTAGGGCTAACCCGACACTGGATCACTAGGGGCAATGTAAACACGGGTAAAAGGTGTAAACAGGGTCTTTTTTTTCCCTGGAAGAAAAAAATGTCACGGTAACGAGTTTTCTTTCTCGGGCCTGGCGGAGGCCCCAGGTGATTCCTCTGAGCGGTTTGTTAGCTGTGTACCCTGCTGACACCCCCAAAAGAAAAGGCTGAGTTTTAGGGGAGGGCAGCTGTGGGCCCCTGCGTGTGTAAGCCTCCACGGGTAATCAAGTCCCTTCTCATCCGCAGGCTTCTGCTGCTTCTCTCCTCAGCCTCAGCAGAAAGCATCTGTCGGGCCTGAGCTGCCCCCTCCCCACCCCAGCACCCCTGCCCCCGCCTCATTCTGTGCCCCGGACTCTCTCATTTCAAGAGCTCCTTGCGAAGTCTCACTTCCATCTTTGGCATTTTTCTGCCCCCCTTTCCCCCCTCCCTAGCAGCGCTGTGATCTTGAGGATCGCTGAGTTGTTCTCAGTGGTTTTCACCCCTCATTTGAGGAGCCAGAACTCAAATCCACCAGTAGCGGCCAGAGGGCAGGAGTGGACAGCTGGGGCCCCTTCCTTCCGGTCCATATAAACACACCTTGCTGTCGGCTTCTTTTTCTCTTTCTCCAGCTCTTCCTCCCATCCTGCCCTCCCCCGTCTCCTCCCAGCCCCCATCCAGTGTGTCCAGCTGCTTGCTGGCCTCTTTGGAGCCGGGAGAAGGGGGGGCCTGTGGCCACACCCGCCCAGCCAGGGTGGTGCTTTGGGGGAGGGGCAGCTGCCATTCTCAAGCCCCTCCCCCCTGAGACCCCCACTCCCTCCCTCCCAGATGTCCTCCTGCACCCCCGCTCAGCTTCAGGGGGCCGCCCGCCTGCCTGTAGACTGGGCCCCACCACACTTGACCTCAGAAACCCAGCTGCTATTTGGCGGGAAGGACTTGGGGTGTTTTTTTTTTCCAGTCTTTTTTACTTGCTTGAGAACTTTTTATTTTTATTGGAGTATAATTGCTTTCCCATGTTGCATGCGTTTCTGCTGTACCATGAAGGGAGTCAGCTACATGTGTACATGTATCCCCTCCGTCTTGAGAGCTCATCGAGACCCCCATAGAGCTCCGAGCTGAGCTCCCTGCATTATGTACAGCAGCTTCACGCTCGCTGTCTGTGTTACACGTGGTAGTGCGTTTGTCAGTGACACCCCCAGTTCGTGCCCCCCAAGCATCCCTGACCCCCACCCCGCCATGTCCACGGGTCCATTCTCCGCATCCGCGTCTCTATTCCTTCCCTAAAAAGGAACGAAACTGAGTCATTTTGTAGAGACGTAGATGGACCCAGAGACTGTCATACAGCGCAGAGTAAGTCAAAAAGGGAAACACAAATATCATACATGATAATGCATGCGTGTCAAGGAAGTTTGACCCCCGCACTGGGGTTTCCCCCAGGTGTCTGGAGAGATCGAAAAGTCAGCAGGCACAGGAGCTTTGCTTATATCCTTTCCCAAACCCCCCACTGGAGTCGCTGCTCTTTCACGTGTGGTCTGCAGCCACATTTTCTTCCCCGGGAATGTGCAGTGTCTGGACTCCTGAGTTCAACACACACCTCCTCCTGAGCAGATGCATGGAGAGCTAAGCCCTCAAAGGTCACGTCAGGTGGGGGAGTCAGCCCGCCACCCTGCCTGGGGGACTCCAGACGTGTGCTCTGGGGTCCTGGCTCTGACCGTGGCTGCTTAACCGTGAGGCTCGGGCCTCTGGCCTGTGGCGTCCGCCCTGCATGGCGTGGACCCGGAAAGCAAAAGAAATCAAGGCCGATCCCTGGCTCTCACACCATAGGGTGTCAGAATCCCCTGCAGGGCTGGTGAAACGCTTCCCTCCAGGGGTTCTGCTGGGGGCGGGGCCGGGATGGGGCCCGACAGTCTGCATCCCAGGTGGTGCTCCAGGTGGTGCTCCAGGCAGTGCTCCAGGTGGGGACCCACTTTATACGCTGCAGGGCAGGCTTTCCTGGGGAGCTTCCTGGTGCTGGTTAGCACACTTGTCTCTGCCTTGCCCTCTCCCCTGGCGGCCTCCTGGGCACACACCACACAGGCTGGCAGCGGGGCAGAGGGGTCACCGCCGTCCCCCACCCCGGGATTGTGACCACGCCCCTCTGCTGGCTCTTTCAGGGAGGAGAAGGAGCGGTGGATCCGGGCCAAGTACGAGCAGAAACTCTTCCTGGCCCCGCTGCCCTGCACGGAGCTGTCCCTGGGCCAGCACCTGCTGCGGGCCACGGCCGACGAGGACCTGCGGACGGTCATCCTGCTGCTGGCGCACGGCTCCCGGGACGAGGTGAACGAAACCTGCGGGGACGCAGACGGCCGCACGGCGCTGCACCTGGCCTGCCGGAAGGGCAGCGTGGTCCTGGCCCAGCTGCTCATCTGGGTAGGTGGCCCAGCGCCCGCCAGGGCATCCTTCTGGGGGAAGGCCGTGTCCATCCACCTGAAAAGTGCGAAATACTAGGAGTCGGGCAGTGAGGGTTTAGGTGTGGGGTGGGCCCCCTGCCTTTCAGCCCACCTTTGTGAGGGACCACGCAAAACCACCAATTTAAAAGGGAGGGATGAACTCGGGGGTGTGCGCCCCCTGAGCAGGCAGAGTGCTCCACTCTGCATAGCACTTGCTGCGGTTTCTGTCAAGTTCATCTTTGCAGTGACTCCCTCGGGTCAAACTTAGTTGGTGATGACCCTGTTGTTCCTTTTACGGAAAACTCACATCATTTTTGAGGGTGGGGGGGTGGAGAGGGTGGATATGAACACAATGGTCGGTGTGGTTTTCCCATTACCACCCCTTTGGGTTTTTCATTCACCTAACGCAGAACTGTCGGGCCCTACACCTTGAGATTTGATGTGGTAGGAGTTTGTCAGAGGGCTCCTTCTGATTAATTTCTACTACGAAAAGTTTGTCATTTTACATTTCTATTGAGGCATTTGCCATGCCGCTGGAATGGGGAGGAAAAAGGGAGAACATGATGGTGCCAGCCAGGAGCTGCTTCCGAGAAGCCCACTCACCCTGCACGGCAGCTACCTGCAAGCCTTTGGGGTCCTCGGCCAGGGGAGGTCCCCCGTTCCAAGGATGGCAGCTGGACTGAGAGGGTCCCTGGGCAGGAAGGGGAGGTGTGTGCTCACAGTAGTGGGACACTGTCCAGAAGTGGGGGGGGGCTCTTCTCCTCCCACCCCCAGGGTAGGGCATGGTCTGTCCAACATAGCCAAGAAGGATGCTACATTCTACATATTCTCCCTGACTCTTGGGAGGGGTGTGATGGGAGAATTAGACACAGAGGTATCAGAATCACTCAGTGTTCAGCTTCCTGTTATAAAAGCAATTGCATATGAATCTGCCGGGGCTGCCCTGACAAAATACCACAGATGAGGGGGCTCAAACAGCAAAAATTTATTTTCTCATGGTTCTCGAGGACAGAAGTCCAAGGTCAGGGTGACAGCAGGACCTTTTTTCCTTGAGGCCTCTCCCTTGGCTTGCAGACAGCTGACTTCTCACCGTGTCCTTGCAGGCCCTTTCCTCTGTGTGTGAGCATCCCTGGTGTCCCTTTCTCTTCGTATAAGGACATTGGTCATATTGGATTAGAGCATTACCCATATGACCTCAGTTAACCTTAATTATCTCTTTAAAAACGCCATCTCCAACCACAGGCACATTCTGAAGTACTAGGGGTTAAGACTTCAACATAAAAAGTTGAGGGGGAAAAAGACAGTTAGTTCCATTAACAAATCACAGGCCATCTTTCCCCCTCACATTGGCCAAGAGTTCCTTTCATGCTGATGCTTCCTGAAGACAAGAGATGAGACTCTCATCCATTGTGGTAGAAGCAGTGATCATCAGTCCACCCTTTCTCAAGACCCAGAAGCTTAAAAACATTGGTGTAATTTAATCTCGTGTTTCCCCTTCTAGTCATCACTCTTGACCATCAGAGATCGAGATAGAGTCAACATGAGGGCATACATCACAGCACTGTTTACACCAGTGGCGACTTGACCACAAAATGTGTGACCACGGAGGACAGAGGAACTGAATTATGCTCATGGAGAGGAATACTGTGTGCCTCTCAGGAGTCACGCATATGAGTAATTTTTAATGACCTAAGAAAATGACCAGAGTGCAGTGTTCAGTTTAAAAAAAAAAAAAAGATAATTTGTGCCAGTTTAATCTCAGTTACCCATATATGCATTTAGATTGAAAGGAAAACCATTAGAAGGAAATCACTGAGCTATTAACCAAGATTATCTCTGAATAGCGGGATTATAAGTGATTTTTTTCCTTCTTGTGCTCTTAGGTACTCCTTACGTATTTCCTACAATAGAAATGAACTGCCTCTGAGATCCTAAGAGTGATCTTCTTGTGTTTACAATGGGAAAGTCAAAACAGAAATAGCAGAACTAGAATTATCCTTGGTCCGCTTCAGACGCAGAAAGCACCTTGTTTCCTTAAAAGCACACACCTGAGCGGGGAGTGCGGTCTGCCAAGCTGTGCCAGCGACAGTGGGCACTGGTCTCCCCAGCCCTCCTGGAGCGCATGTCCGCATCTCCGGTGCTGTATCCGCCCACCTGCGCGCACGCGCACGCGGGGTGGACCCCACCCACCTACCCACCGCCGGGTCCCCGCCTTCCAGCGACTCTAACGCAGCTCTGTTGCCTCCGCAGTACGGCGTGGACGTGATGGCCCGCGACGCGCACGGGAACACGGCGCTGGCCTACGCGCGGCAGGCCTCCAGCCAGGAGTGCACCGAGGTCCTTCTGCAATACGGCTGCCCCGACGAGCGCTTCGCGCTCATGGCCACCCCCAACCTGTCCCGGAAGAACACTAACCGCAACAACAGCGGCGGGAGGGTGCCCACCGTCATCTGAGGACCGCGGTGTGCCCGCAGCCTCCCGCGCGCGCCCTGGGGAGTCACCCACGTGAGTCCCGTCGGGTCCCCCTCACTTCTCCTGGTGGTCCCCGGCCACGCACCCCCACCCCCCTCCCCCCACCTCACCCCCAGAGAAACCACAAAACCCAGACGGCCCTCGAGGGGCGCGAAGAGGCTGCGGCGTCGATCCCTTTGCATAGACTCCCCCTCATCAACAACACAGGGGCGGCCGGAGGGCCTGGGTTCCTGATGGTAGCACACACCAGCGCGGGGACCTCTGGTCCATCCGGCAGCGGAGAAGACGGGCAGGGCACAAGGGGCGGCGGGGGGCGCGGGGGTGGGGGGGAGGGCGACGCAGCCAGCAGGAAGGGGCCGACTCTCCTTAACTGGCAGTTAAGCACATCAGTACATTTCACCTCTACCAAACGGAACACTTGGATTTCATCTCTTCTCCGAGGAGCTTGACGGCATAAATCAGAAGCAAGCAGAGTTTGTCAGGTTTGAAGCCCCTATGATGGTATGTGTCAAATCAGTTGTAGCTAATCTGTCCAGGGAGGATACTGGCTTCATTACGCTCGTGTAGTTGAGTTCTTCCAGCATTACCGCTGCTTAATAGAACATGATTACTCATCACCGGGAAGAAAGCGTATTAGCGGCGGAGGTAGTTACGCAGCACGCTCGGGTGATTGCCACGATGTGATCGCAATACTCTGAGAAGCCGCGTATTATCCCAGACATGTTCTCCCAAGCCCTTGGAGCCCTCCTTTCTAAATTCACTGTCATAATTTAGTATCTGTTTAATTTTTCAGTCCAAAGAGAGGAAATCAGTTGCTGAGTATTATTTGACTGCAGTCTCCTTGGTGCAAAACAAAATGGAAAAAAATAAATAAGAGTGACTTGGAATTTCAAAAGGAAACCACGAATTCCACTAACCACGACATTTCAAGCACATTTTAGTAAACTCAGTAAATGTGTAAAAGGCTATTTTTTTTTTTTTTTTTTTTGGCCCAAACCAGAGAGAGATTTTGTGTCCTTCTGCCAAGGTGGGTGTCTCGGGTCTCAGTCTCTCCGGGGCCCACGCGGCCCAAGTCACACAGGCCTCTGTATTCTGTCTTTAGACGAGATGTGTTGAAAATCTATTTGAATAAAAGAAGTTCATAAATATGCATTGATTTTTGTACAGACAAATGGCACCTCTGTTAATTTATAAATTGAACTGGATGTGAACTAATAATATGCAACTAGTTGAGACAAGAGGGTTACAGATCATTGTACATGGGAAATATTCCCAGCAGTAAACACTTCCATTAATGTGATATACAGCTTTTAAAAAGGAGCACATCAGAATAAGATGGTGGTACCATTTGCTTATTAAAATCAAGAAAGGGGAGAAAGAAAAAAAACAAGCATATTAGGGGGAAGAGGCCCGTGATTGCTCATTACTGAAAGCATGATTGCTATCCAACGCTGCTTTTGCTAACTGCGAGGAAGCACTGTGTTCAGACACGGGGGACTCTCCAAACCCCAGACCCTAGTGCTTTGCAAAGGTCCACCCTGACCACCGCTGACAATGTGGGGGCACAGACTGACTCATGAGACTCCCTAAGACTTTTTTTGTCTTTTTTTAAACCTGGTGGCCAGGCCCATCATTTCAGTACATCACCCAATTTGCCGTCATCGTGGTTTCTGGCTGCTTCAGACTTCGGCCACCTCCAGCATGGTGGCCAGACATAACCAGATGGCGACACTGTAGGTTACAGAAGGGGCCAACTGTGCCTTGAGCCCCTTGGTGGTAGGATGGGGACGCGGGGTGTCCCCTTGAAGGATAGCACAGGATTGGCAGCACCAAAACAGAGGACCACACTCCCCCGGCTGCCCCCGGGGAAGTCCCTTGCTCTCATATACAAAACCTTCTATTTTGTAAGAGTTTTTCCTCTTCTTTGACTTTTTAAAAAACAAAAAAAAAAAAAAATTAAAAGTAGGTGGGGGTAGAAAATAAAGCTTTACACAGTTTCTACGTGGGTCAGTGTTTCACGGGCATCTCTCACCTGCACGCAGCTCAGTGGAATCCGGCCATTTCCCAGGATAAACGTGCACAAGCCTCCGGCCTGGGAACCTTGAGGACAGGGCCATAATCCCTCCGCCCGGTTTTTAATTCTGTGTTTCATCACTGTGTGGTTATTTTAAATGTGAATGGGGGGGGGAGTCCTTCCTATTTTTGAAGAACACATTACTGTTCTAATCCAGCCACACCCATTGCCCCCCCACCTTAGCATAGACGTTATTATGTAGTGAACGCAGATAGAATACAAACAAAATTATTAAATTATTTCATTGTAGTTACTTCCCATCATAGGAATGCTTATCATAGTGAAGCCTTCTTTTGAAAAGAAATGAAATTCCTTGTAAGGCTTCTCTTTGGGATGTATATGAGTGTGTACAGATTATTAGATGTGTTTATAATATAATATTTTCCCAGATGACTTCTTTTTTCACTTAGCCTTTCACAACCGGTATGCTACGCTGGTTTCTTCCCTTCCCTCCCTCCAGCGCTGGGGCTTAGTTGATTCCTCCCTGGAAAAGGCGACCTCTTTCCTGCTATTTTTAGTGATGGTGATGTGCTCCAGGAGACAGCCTGCCAAATTTTGAGCCCAAGTTTTGGCAACAGAGAGAAGGTGGTAGTGGGTTTCAAGGGTTTTCTTTTAAAAGAAAGATGGATCATCTGTGTTTCAGTGTCAAACTAGAAACCCTTTCTCTGCCGACAGTGTTCTCATTCCCATCTTAAAGCCTTATTGACACCAAGGCCAGAGAAGCAAGGACTCAGGGTCTGCGGTAGACATAACCAGTTTGGGAAGGGAGTCGCGTTTTCATAGCTTATTTTCATGTAAGTTCAGGGACATGACAGTGACCCAAGGAGTTACTGCTGTAGAATCCATGTAACCTTTTCTATTCAGAATTTAAAATTTTTCCTTGACCAGAAACCCACTGGCCGGGGAAGGCATGTGGTCAGGTGGCCACTCACGAGGGCCCCTGGGTGTGTCACAGACTTCTCTGGATTCCTCCGGTGGCCAGGGAAGCCTGCAGAGAAAGGAGCCTTGATTTCTGCTGGTGCGCGGGTGCACCTTGAATACTAGGGTAGACAGGTGGATGGTTCCCCAGGACAGGGTCCCAGGTCCCCCCTCTCGTCCCCTGTCTTCCCCAGGAGATGAATGGTGAGCGTCACGGTCATGAGTCTTTGATCCCAGAAGCAGATGCAGCCCCCTGTCCCCCCAGGAAGCCTCCCCGCAGTGTGGAATCACCCAGAAAGCAGGTGAGGGCAGTGGGTGCTTGCTGACCGTGGAGCCCTCGGGTGCAGGAGAGAGTAGCTCTTCCTACGTTCCTCGGGCTTGCGATCCTTCCATCAGCCGCTTTCCTGCAGGGCCCTGGGCTGCGGCTGTGACCCTAGCTGGCTCCTCCCCTGAGGTTCTGTGCAGCTTGATGTGGTCTGCTGGCAGCCAGCCTCGGCCTCCAACATCACCTGGGGGCCTCCCACTTGTGTGCCACCCCCACACGTCCAGAGTCATGCCCCGTGCTTTCAAAGGAGCTGTCACCGCTTCATTAGGGAGCAGTCCGATGAGAAAGTCAGCCCCAGGGCTGAGCAGACCTGGGTTCACCTGGCCTCGCCACCCTGCCCTGGGCAGCTTCCAGCTTCCCCGGGTCCTTCAGCAGCAGTGAAACCCAGTGGCCTTGCAGGGTGTGGGTCCCATGTGATGAGTGCCAGCCCGACGCCCGGCCAGGGGCTGGCTGCTTAGGACACATGGGTGTTTATCAAGAACAGGACGCAGACGGGACAGGAAACCCCCCCCCCCCCAGCTGGCCGCATGGCCACGAGCCAGCGTCCCCAGGAGTCGGCCGGACCCTCTCGTCCAGCGCCCCCGTCCCTGCAGAACCCATCAGTGCCCCTTTCCATTCATGCAGCAGGGGAGGGAGCTGGGCTCTGAGGGCCGCCCCCCCAGGAGTGAGCCCACCCTGCCCCGCACCCTGAGCCCACCCACTGAAGCGCACCCTCCACTTCTTCCTCTGAGTTCGCATTTCTAGGGAAGGACAGCTGAGGGTCTCCCTCACGCCATTCACTCCCGCTGCTTCAGGCCGCGACCACCCCTCTCTCTCCCCCCACTCTCCGCCACATTGTTGATGCCACAGGCCTCCCCCTGCAGACACCTCTGGCACCCAGAGGCGGCTGGACGCTCTCATGTTCAGACCCTGTTCAGTCTTTGCCCTCAGTCCAGTCCAGTCGCTCAGTCATGTCCAACTCTGTGACCCCATGGAGTGCAGCACACCAGGCCCCCCGTCCATCCCCAACTCCTGGAAAACTTGCTTTAAACTCATGTGCATCAAGTCGGCGATGCCATCCAACCATCTGGTCCTCTGTCGTCCCCTTCTCCTCCCGCCTTCGATCCTGCCCAGCATCCAAGTCTTTGCCCCGCTTCCCTTTAGAGCTTCTTACAGGGCACCCTGGGCTGGCAAGATACGGCCTCAGGCTCCACTGTCTGCCTCCCTCCTTCTATCCACCCCCTCCAAAGCCGCCTTCTCCCTTTCTCTCTCTCCTCTGACCCTCCCTGTGTGCTTGGTAGGTGAGCACCCGCCCTGCGGGAGCTCGCTTCCTTCTCAGGAGTGCCACTCGCCTCGTCCCACGCCTGTCCGTGTGGTCATCTCCTTCCCCTTCAGAGTGGGCCCCGCTTCCTGCCCGACCAAGCCCCCAGCCCGAGCTGTGCTCCCGGGGGTGACGCGGGCCCCTGTGGCTCCAGCCTTGCCAGTCCTTTCTCCTTGCATGTAGAATGTTCTGGAAGCAAGGGGGGGCGCGCCGCCTTCCGCCTGGGTTGGCGCGGAAGCCGTGTCGCACTGGAGGGCCTCTGTGAGCAAGCCGGGCCGGGTCTCGGAAGCTGCTCAGAAATCACAGACGGTGGGAAGGCGAGGCGGCCCCTCCCCCACAACCCGCTGTTTGCGCCCCTCCAGCGCCCCCCAAGGTCATCGCGACTTTCCCAGAACTCCCCTGGATTGT